AAAACATAATATATAAATGAGGTGAGTTTAAATATGAAAAAATATCGATTTTCATTATATAATTCAAAATTTTTTAAAAAAGAACTAATTACAATGCAAAAATTCAAACTTAGAAACTTCTTAATAGGAATTTATTAACACAACGTCGATTCAAGCATAATTGTGTAATTATATCTACCATGACGTTTTGACAAAGTTCTCTAAATCGGAATCAAGGAGAGGCCTAGAATTCGGCGGTCATTTTGGAGTTGAAAAAATTGAAAGAAGATGAAGAGAGATGATATATTCTATATGAATATGATGATGAGTTTAAGCTAATTTAAAGAGCTGTTTCCTTTCTGGGGCACATTGATTAAAGTCATACACTCTAAGCCAATGACATATTCACTTCAGTAGCAAAGATTGAAATATGATAATCTTGAGGTTGTAGATCTGATTCTCGTATATAACGGGCTTTTTTTAAGTTTTTTTTTTTTTTTTGAATTTTATATGACATTTAAGTTGAGATTTTTGTTCCGAGAACATTTTATATACCATACTTATCTCTATTAAAAAAGAAAAAAAGAAAAAAAGTCATACACTCTAAATTGAAGCTTCTTAAACCTAAAAAAAGGACACCCTGCCCTAATACTCAAATGCCCTGGATCTTAGTCATGCATTTTTTATTGGCTCTCTGCTCACATGCTTGCATTTTGCTGCACAACATATTGTACCGATCCTGAATTGTTTATATAATTAATTAACGAAGCTTAGTATACTGGTTAGTATCTGATTAATCACAATCTAAACTTGAACAAGTCTCGTTAATAATGCGCATTTTCATCATTATCTTGAATTTAAAAGACAACATATATGATCATCTAATTCATGTCTCTAAATTAAAAAAATAATAATAATTATCTTTTATGATGTCTTTTGTTACAATAGTTTGAACTAAACTTGCAATAATTCAAGACTTATATGGGGCCCTATCCATTCCGTCTCGCGAGCCCTGAAGAAACCCCCGTTCGGACACCATATCTCTTTTGATTCTATATGTGGGCACTTGATATCTATGAGGGTTCACCCACCCTGCTTACAGCATTCCTTTCCATTGTGCCTAAAATATCTGTTTTTGCTAATATTAAATTATTTTCTATTCTAACTCTTTCAACGACAGTTTGCATTAAAAAAAGGTGTCACAATTAAGGTTTTCTTTTTATAGTGCTACTATATATATTTATATGAAAAACTGTTTTACATGAGAGATTGCACATTAAAAATATAGTTCGTTTTATAAATCTATTAAAATATTTTTAGTGAAATTATTTCTTATGTTATTTCATTAAATGTATTTTAATAAATTCATGCGACGAACTGCACTTTTAATGTACAATCTGCGTTATAAAACATAAATCTCAAATGTATTTGTTTTATTTTCATCATATCTCTTCAATGTATAAGAAACTCCACACTCACATGTGAACCCCTAACAACATGCCACCAATTAAGAGCAACATAATTCGGTACTCTACTTATTCAAGTTGCTGAAAGAGACAGAAACTAGCCTCCAATTGTATATTTTGTTTGTTAAACATTAAGTTCATGCAGGCAGAGAAACTTGATTATTATATAGATTGATTTGAAACCTTTTTGACAAATTACTGAGAAAAACCAATTCACGCGATGTTTAGGTTTCGTTATGTGCCAAAAGGTTAGGTTAAATTAGTTCCGGTCCAAGCTCATATGCACCGAAAAGAAGCAACTCTCTTAAAGATGATAAAAAGTCCTTACTTACATTTCGGTGCATGCGATCGTGTAAAAAGGTCGGAACTTTGGGGAGGTGCTCAATATTTTGGTGGTTCAATTTTTCTATAATTGAATTCAGGGGACTGGGGAAGGGCTAAGCTCTTTTCAAAATTAAAGCAAAACCTATTATATCAAGGATATGATAACTTTAGGTTCATGTGTTGGTCAAATTAAACGACTTGAAGAAAAAAAATTAAAGGCCTGCCTATAGAATTTTTTTTATGGAAAATATAGTCATATATAAAAAAAGATTTTGTAGTTTGTACAATAAAACATTGACCCTTTGATTAAAAAAGAATCCCTTAATATTGAAAGAGAAGACTTTGTTTAATAATTAATATTTTACAATCTAATACAATTTAAACTACAAAATATTAAACTTGTCTTATTTATGTTGAATCACTCGAGTTTTGAGGAGCTTACACTCAAAGAAAACAAGTAAAGGGTATCTTAAATTTTTCTATCAAAAAGTAAAGGGCATCTTAAATGATTATGATGACTAATGTCTACTGATTGATCGACTAAAAATTAGTAGCAAAGAGACAATATTTAATGTGTATCAAAATTAAGTATTTTGGAGAGAAATTGATCAGGTGTTTCTAGAATTTTGTCCCTTGATAGGAAGACAGAGCGTGGGGCTAAGGCATAATGTTTTGTTGAAACGATATAAATTGATGATATTTGCCCTTGTGTGTGTGCTGTTGGTGAGTCCAATCGTAATCATGTCCAATGCCTGGATAAAGGATTGCTGTTTGCCTGCAGGTTGATTGTTCCTGCTGATAATTAGGTACTTAGCAGGCATTATTTTCTAGCAGGCCAAATGCCACACACACCAAGTGCAGTCCTATTGAGACTGCAACCAGCATGTGTGGACTCTATAAAGTATTACTGTATCTGAAACTTATGGAGTTTATAATTAATAATGCCTTTTTCATTTTCTTTTGTATATTAGTTGAGTCAGAATCCCATATTGACAGTCCAAATTGGCAAATTCATCTGTCATTGCAGGAAATGAAAATGTTAATTGGATTTCCACTTCCCTTTCTTCTTAGATTTCTCCCTCCTTTTTGTTTTCGTTTGTGTGAAAATTATTCTATAGGGGAATTTAAATATAAAATTTGTATCTAATTTAAAATAAACTGACAATAAATAGAATAACCTTTTTATATTTAACTCAAACTCAAAATAGGTTATTTAAGGGAAAGGGGTATTTTTGTTTTTCATATATATATATATATAGTAATATTATGCTAATCAAAATATAATATTAATTAATTTTTTATATTTTTTTCCCGCTTCAAATGAAGAAATTGTTACTTTTCCTTTAGAATTATTCGGAGTCTTAACTTGCTAATGTAATGATTAATTCTCTTTAATCAACAAATTAGGAGTTGAAATCAAAGTGATCTCCATATCCTACACATGCATATGTAGTGGTAAATTCAAAAGATGTTCTGTTCAAGTAATCATTTGTTTTGAAGGAGAATTAGGTCGCTAATTCTATTGAATCTTTCTTTTTTCTTTTTTGGCTTTTACTTCTTCCTTCTTTGTTGTGCAACTAATCGTCTAAGGGTTTTTTCTAACCTCAAATTAAGAGTATAATACATATACATATTTTTATCATAAATTTATGTTAAAAAAATAGAATTGATCTTTAATTTATTAATCATGTAATAAATTTATCTATTTAAAAATGATACTAAAATTAATATTAATTTTTATATTTTTAATATATATTTATAATAAAAAAAAGTAACCTTAATCTGTGTTAGGTTAGAAAAACCAATTGTCAAATGGACATAATTAAGGTACTAGCATAGGGATTTTGTCCCTATAAATATGGCTTTAGCAACACATGAAACCCAAAGCCAAAAGGTCAGATAACTACTTCTTCCTTTAAATCATTGTTTTTCTACTTTGTTTTTATTGGAATGCTTAAGTTCTAATTCACTTTTTGATTACTTTTAATGTGAAACTAATCATTATTTTAATTTTAATTTTTTTGCCATAAACTCACTTCAAACTCAACAGGCCAGGCCAATAGTCAAAGTGGGACCATCCCTAATGACTAAGCCCATATCAAAAGGAATGGATAATGGGTCCAAAGGCTCCAAACTGTCCCTTAAAAATAGGGCCGAGAAATAAGTACTACTTTTTTTTTTTGGACCAAGTACAAATTTTTTATGTGGAAATCGAACCCAGCCATACATTGGTTAGGTGCACCTTTCCCCAATTCACATGTGAGACTAGGTGTGAGGAAAAATATCTGTTTTTTTAGGTCTAAATTTATTTTGGGTAAGATGATTAGGAACTTTTTGGGTAAGTTTTCAAGATCAATATCTTTTTAATTAATTTTAAAGACATATTTTTATATTAATTTAGTGCATATAAAAAAATTAATTTTTTTGGAGTATTAGGCATCCCAATACTTAATATGTTTTTTGAGATTTTTGTTTTAAAAATTTTAAATCGATATCCAAACTAATGCGTGCTAGTTTGATTATTGTAAACCTACTTGTTAAGGATAAAAGATTAAAAAATATATATATATACCTAACCAAAAATCTTTATTTCATATTTAAAGATAATTATAGTCCTTGTACTTTAAAGAACAGTTAGTTAATGTCCTTTTAGTGAAAGAAGTTTTGTTGAAGTCCCTATACTGAAAAAGTTTCCAAACAAGTATTGAGATCTATTGGTTTTGTATTTTCTTTTCCACCCTTTTGGCCTTTTGCATAACAAAATTATTTTTACAAGCTCATATGTTAAACAAAAGCAAATGTGAGATTGAAATATGTGTTACTTTTTGTCAAAGATGTCTGCTTTAGACATATTGCATGTCTATTTGTCTCTGTAATTTTACAATAAGATATTTAATTTCATACCCTTTTACCTTCTCTTTCTCTTCGGCTGCATTAGCCTTTGATTTCAAACATTCATATTCACTTTCATTTTTTTTTAAAAAAAAAAAATCATTAAATTATTAAATACATTTTCAATTTGGGCCTTTAATCTTCATAGCTTGAGCCCAGGCCCATCCCATTTGGGCCTTTTATTGGAGTTTTGATCCCGAGGCCTCCTTACAAAAGATGATCTTCCGTCTCTCCCCATTT